TTTTTTTTTAATCTACATTAAAAAAAAAAATTGTACATTTTATGCGTAATACGTGTTATAAATTAAAGAGATTATGAAAGTTTCATTTTTACTTAAAGTATGTAACTATTATAATCTCTTTAATTTATAACACGTATTACGCATAAAATGTACAATTTTTTTTTAATGTAGATTTTACACAACCAAAAAAAAAAATACCCGAGCCCGCTCGGCCCGGGCTCGGCTCGGCCCGTCAAGGCTCGGGCCTAAAGCTCTGGCCGAGCCTCATTTTTTTTTCGTCGGGCCCGGCTCGGTCCAAAAAAACTCGAACTCGGCCCGAGCTTTTTTTTCCCGGCTCGGGCTCGGCTCGGCTCGGCTCGTTGCTACCGCTAAAAGTGGCTTTACTTTCAACAATGCATACAGTAAATCTCTTACGATCCCACCCCTTCAAATTGAAGAATCCGAGAGTGAATTGTCTCTACCGTGTGACGACAAGTAATATAATGATGCCATCGTATGGTAGTAATTTGGCCGATGGGAACATCTTTTCGTATTCGATTGGAACTCTTTTGAAAATCAATTTGACTCGATTTCTAACATAATTTCGATCTATTTAAATAGAGAACTAGGGCAGACCATTGAAGACCTATCATATCCCTCTCATATCAATTTATATAATAAAATCTTACTGGGAAAAATGGCCAATTCACCATAAATTGGAGAGAATAACAAGTCTAGCAAGTGGATTGAATCAAGAAACATCAAGAACTTAAAGAATTAAAGCTTCCAATTGAAGATCAAGAACAATAAATTGTTTTCATATATTATTTGTATTCACATAGGGATGTCAATGGGGGCTCGTCGACTAGTGGCTCGGCCCGATAAAAGTCTGAGTAGAGCCAGCTCGTGGCTCACTTCGGCTCGGGCCAGAGCTGCCTTGTGACTTGACGAGCCACACGTGTCGGCTTGTGTCACAGGTCATTTTCGGCCCGTGACGAGCTAAGCAATGCAGCAGTCACGAATTATTAAATAAGAAAATAAAAAAAATCTAGTGGCTCGGCTCGTAAAGGCTGGAGTCAAAAGCCCGAGTCGAGCCTAAATTTTTTGGCCGAGCCTCGGGTAAAAAAAAGTCCGAACCAGCTTACTCGAGTCGAGTCTGAGCTTCGAATTGCATCTCGTGGTTTGGTTTGGCTCGATGACACCCATATATTCACATATATTTCAGGTGATGAATTTCCAGTCTTTTTTGTTATTTTATCATTAGAAATATGCTAGGACAGATTTTCTCTGTATTGGATGAAGATGAATTTTTTAAAATTATTTTTAATTCAAAAATCAAGTAATTTAGCTCATTTGAATTCTTGATTAATTTTGCATGAGTTATGAAATTATTTAATTGCTTGATCATTAATTGTGTAATTAGTTACTTGTTATGTTTTCATGAGGTTCACAATATGTTTAGAACCTTGCAAAATTAATATACGGGAAATCGATGTTAAGAATAATATGTATGACGTGTGCAATCATATAGATAATAATGAGATTTAAAACATCACTTTTTATAAGAATTCGAGATAGAAATATGATTGGATCGTACTTAGAATAGATTTAACTTACCTTGAGAGAAAGATAAATTGAATTATCGATTGTCAATATACACAAACCACACTAAATTACATATGTCAAGTATTAGAAATATGATAATATGTGGATTTGGAATTCAAACACATAATTCTCATATTTCATATAAATCAACTTTAGATAATTAGTAGATTAATTTAGAAATAAACGTATAAATCTATTTTGTTAACTTTTCATTCAATTTTTATAACGAATTAGTACTACTAAATTTAAGTTTATTTCTCGTGGGACGATATTTTTACTTAATACATTATTACTTGTCAACAATTTTGTACACTTATAAAATTTCATCGAACATAAAATATAAATTAAATTGAAACCAGCTGCACATTCAATCTTCATCAATGCTTACAACGAAAACTACTATACGTAGTATCACCCAACTCATAAATTAATACAACCAATTGATCATAAATGTATTAGGTGGGGGCTCTATATGGGGATTTCTCTATCACGCAATATCGATCCATCAACATCGTACAAATCCAAGCAACTTGCTATTTCCGTATGGAGAACGCAATTTTCCAGTCCAAAACATATATATTGATGTAGAGAGAAATAGGGTGGGGGTTCACACAGACTCACACATATGGGGTAGATAATATTTTTATTTTTTTATTGAGGTGAAGGGACCCACCTCATTTGAGAGGGTGTAGGGGTTCTGTGCACACTTACCCTTGTACATGGAGATTAATTCATTGATGTAACATGTACACAAGTTCCGATAACAAGTTGCAACATTTATGTACATTTTTTGGTTTTATTAGAATTTTTTATTTGTTTTAATTTGAAACTGACTATAGACGGAGTTATTTTTGTCCTAACATAAACTAATATAAGGTAACCAATCACTCAACATTCATGGCAGTCAATCGTTACTCTTTAGATTTCTAGAATTAATCACAGATAAGTTTCATTTGAATGAACACTGTATTGTCTTCACTTGATCAATTGGACATCTCATTGTAAACAAATGTAAGATGACTCGTGTTGTTGACCTAAAATTCACGTTGGATGAGTTGAGGGCTCCTCTTTACTTTATCAAAAGATTCTGCTTGTCGAAGAGCCCATATAGGTCAGTTTGACATGTTGATATATATGATATCTCATCGATTGAGAATGGAGCCAGATTATGGACACGTTGTATAAAAATATCACGAGATAACAAAAGAAGTCGCACTTTTGACTGTTAAACGGTCCAAACCAACCAATCAATAAGATGACATGATGGATTAAGATACGAGCTTAAGGCCTAAGGATTATCATGACCCATTACAAATGAATTCATCAATCAATCAAATTCCTTAAAACGGCTATTGTGCGTAATCTTAAATCCAAACATTGTAACTTGATATAATCAAGATGGATAGCTTGAGTCCATCAACCTATATAAAGGGGCGAAGGGTGAATGAGATGGAAAGTCCAAACTGAAATTATTTCATTATAACACTCTTATTTAAGGAAAATTATACTTGAAGAGGCCTACGTGGCCCCTGTTGAAGTAGCAGGGCTCCTTATTTAATTCAAATTCATAGAAATTGATTTAAAAAGTGACACTTTTACATTTTATCATTAACAACTCACTTAGACGAAATAGTTAATTAGGGCTTGAGGAAACGAAAGGCCTATAAATGCAACTTAACTTGTAGCCAATACATACAGAGGGTAGCCAAGAAATGGCGTCTGCCACCACCAACCCCACTCTGCACTCCGTTAGACGACTGCGCCGCAGGTTCCTCAACCGCATATTTGCGGGGGTTTACACCACTGTTATATTGGCCTTGCTCTATCACCATGCAATCACACTCCTCCATTCCACCACCTTCACATCTTTCTGCATATCCTTCACCATATTTATTTCTGATATTCTTCTAGCTTACATGTGGTTGACAAGCCAATCATTTCGTATGAATCCCGTGGCCCGGGAAGAATTCCCTGAAAACCTCGTAAAATTCTTCGACCGGAAAGATTTTCCGGCCATGGATATATTTATATGCACTGCTGATCCATATAAAGAGCCACCTATTAACGTTGTCAACACAGCTTTATCAGTTATGGCTTATGATTTTCCGACAGAAAAACTGTCGGTTTATGTGTCGGATGATGGAGGATCAGAGCTTACACTCTTCGCTTTCATGGAGGCTGCTGAATTTTCAAGGACTTGGTTGCCTTTTTGTAAGGAAAATAACATCATAGAAAGATGCCCGGATACCTATTTCAGGTCAAATTATACTCAAAGCCCTAAAACTGTGGAAATGAAGGTACACATTTATTTCTCATAACAATTTCTAGTTTTAAAAATGTTGAACAAAATTCTTGCTAAAAAATCCCAATAAATAAAAAGCTGTGGAATTTGAACAAATAATAATCTAAAATGCATTGCAGATGATGTATGATAACATGAAGACGAAGATAGAAAACGTGGTTGAGAAAGGGAGAGTTAGTGATGAATACATTTCCGATGAAAAGCAACGCCGAGTTTTGAGTCAATATTGGACTAAAGATTTCACTCGGCAAAATCATCCCTCTGTCATTCAGGTTTGTTAGACAAGGATAATTATAATCTATAATTTTTATATATTAATATTACTATAATTTAAAACGCTTTAAACAGGTTTTGTTAGACACCAACAAAGATAAGGATAATAGGGGTTATTCAATGCCAAATCTTGTATATGTCTCTAGAGAGAAAAGGCAAGGCTACCATGCATCATTTCAAGGCTGGCGCCCTCAATGCCCTGGTAAGTAATAGCCTTTTGTGCAAGATCGATACTGGTATTGAAAGGAGTTGGACAATGTAATGAAGGGATATTGACTTATTTTACATTTTTAATATTGTCTAACGATAAAAGGATGTAGAAAATATATAATTCAAAGGGATCGATTCTGCTGTTTATGCTAACGTTGCAAACTTTTCATGTCGTGAAGCTTCGTGTTTCGGGCATTATGACCAATGCACCAATTGTCTTGACTCTAGATTGCGATATGTATTCCAATGACCCTTTGACGCCTCAAAGAGTTCTTTGCTACATTTCGGATAAGTCAAATACCCCAAATTTAGGGTACATTCAATTTCCACAACGTTATCACGGGCTCAACAATGCCGATATCTATGGGTCTGAGCTTAAACGTTTGGTTCAAATAAATTCGACCGGCATGGATGGGTTGGATGGACCTATCTTTATGGGGACTGGATGCTTTTTTCTTCGACGTGCATTTTTTGGTGGCCCATCATCGCCTGTTCAGCCTGAAACTCAAGAGCTTGGCCCAAATTACATTGTAAACAAGCCTATTGTGGATCGAGAAATTTTATATCAAGCCCACCGTGTTTGTGGATGTAATTACGAGAATCCAACCAGTTGGGGATCCAAGGTAAACAAAAATAAAATAATTTTTAATAACAATTTATTATATTGAACAATCTCGTCTTAGAGATTAAATTATATCTTTAAATAAAAATTTAAAAAAATGCATTTTGATCGATCGATCTTTTTTTCACACTTCTAGATAGGGTTTCGATATGGCTCCTTGGTCGAGGATTATTACACGCGCTATCAGCTTCAATGCGAAGGATGGAAGTCAATATTTTGTGATCCGATCGTGCCTGCATTTTTGGGTGATGTGCCAATATCTCTCCGTGATTTTTTGAACCAGAACAGGAGATGGGCCTTCGGGCTGCTAGAGGTGGCCTTCTCAAAGTACAGCCCAATAACTTTTGGGATCCAAGCCGTGGGGATCTTAATGGGCCTGGCTTATGCACACTATGCATTCTGGCCCATTTCGGGTGTTCCCATCACAATCTATGCTTTCCTCCCTTCATTGACTCTTCTCAATGGAATTTCCATCTTCCCAAATGTACATTTACCTCAATTCTAAATATTGCACACATTTTACATTAAATACTCAATCAATTATATTATTATACAAAAACCATATTACATCAATAGTTACAAAATACTTCGACAAAAAATAATAGAAGTTAGAATTCTTTTATGATTTAACACAGATATCTCACATCTCTCTTCGTTAATTTTGTCCGATTTATCATAATTCAAATTAACAAACATGTTATTTATATGTCAAATTTTTTTTTTAATTACAATTTTTTTCTCAAAAATTGCATTTTTTGCAGGTAAATGATCCTTGGTTTCTCGCATACATATTTCTATTTCTTGGCGCCTATGGGCAAGATTGCTTAGATTTCATATTAGCCAAAGGCACATTCCGAAGATGGTGGAGTGATCAAAGAATGTGGCACATGAGGGGAGTCTCATCACATTTATTTGGATCCATAGAATATATAATGAAACATTTAGGTATGGNTCTATGGTGGGATAGTGCAGATTTTCAAGGAGAGAAGTATGGATGCATTTTTTGTACAAGTGTTTATTGCAGGATTTGGGGTTTTGAATTGCTTGCCAATTTATGAAGCCATGGTTTTCAGAAGTGATGAAGGAAGGATGCCTACAAGGACTACCATCATTTCTACTCTTCTTGTATGGGGACTTTGTGCAATTGCCACTCTTGTACTCAAGATGTGATAGCACATTTAAGGGTTTGCTCAGTACACAGCAGTGAACAATACTCTCTGAATAAAATTTAGTATTTGTAATATTTGTTAGGTATGAATGAAATACTATCCTTTTTATTGTGTTTGCTTGATTATAGTATTATTCATTTGGATTCGTTGCCACATAGACTAATTATGAACATGAATTTATATTCCAACTTCCAATCAACAATTGATGATCAAATTCTACTCTCGAGTGAAAAAATTAAGCAACACATTCTATCTTTGATCTCTATCTAAATGAACTGTCCAATGGCCAGATATTGTGAATTTTGAGGTTATCTATCAAAATGAACACAATGATTTCTAACGAAATGGACTTGTTGAAAACTTAAAAAGGACTTAGCCTTAAATGAATTCTACCAATTATAAGTTGTTCGAGATGTAACCCATTCTGCCGTAAATAACTCTGTATTCAGAAGAGCACTACAGTTTTAATAAGTGATTGGGAAAAAAAAAAAAAAAAGTCTTCAGATTAAAGTTCCAAAACTATAGAAGAGACCCTGAAAATCTAGAGGTTTCAGAAGCGGCTATTGAGGCAAGAGTTCTATTCTCTTTACACGTTCTGAAAAGGGGGAAAGTCACGTAAATGGGACCTCTGAGTGGTGAACCAGTCCTATAAATAGTTATGTTTTGCCTGTTTGGTTGCCGTAATACACAGGTTACTGGTAATTAGTGTTTTTTGTAATTTAAATCATTCAACTGGGTACAAAGATGAGTATGGTTCGACACTCAACAGTTCTGGTCATGTTGGAGCGGGTAGCACTCATTCTACACACCCGAAATTATTCTCAATGTAAAGAAAAATACGAACTTGATGGGCTGATTGTGGAGGAGAACACAAGTCTATAGAATTTCTCAGTCTTATAACTAGAGGCATTGTTCTTTAGAGATCTTAAGCATATACTCCGTACTATTAAGTGTCGTGTCAAATTTAGTATTAAACCAAGATGGTACCAGAAATGATATAATCTGGCAAAAAGGAAGGCCAGTAAAAAGGCAATTCATAGACAGAGACAAACATGTTGCCTAAATCTGAATAATCATTAAACATCCAATAATAACAGGAATTAAGCACAACAATAAACATTATGTTGCTCATCAGATTAGGCATTCATTGGCCCTTCGGAATTTGGCCCATGTTTGGTACACGTTCTTTCAAGATACATTATTTCAAAACTCATTTTCAATCACACATTATTCAATAAAATAATATTTTTCCTCACATCAATAACATTTCCTTACTTTTTATTACATATTTTCCATCATATCACTATTTAAAATACATTCTTTCTTCAATAATATCCATCAAACACGCCATTGATTCTTCATTGGCATCAATTATCTTTCCATCCGTGGGCAGAAGAAGAGAAATCCCATTAACAATCGGATATAAGATGCCGACGGCACTACTAATTAGAGCATTCATTTACTCACACAACCTAAGGGTTTGTTTAGAGAGTGGACAAACCTAGGGGCGGACCCACCAGACAAAGGTGTTAAGGTAGGCTAAAATTTAATTTTTTTTTTCAATGAACTTTTGCCAAAGAGATGTCAATACTAAGATATCCTACTAGATTTTTGTAACTTTCTTAGTAAAATAGGAAATTGACAATCTCTCTAGAAAATATAAATTGGTGGAAAGCATGATAGATATGAGCAAATGATATACGTCTATCAATCAAAAATTAAGTGCAAGTTACAAGGAACTTTGCAACCATAATTTCAAAAATTGATAATGCACAATAATAGTATAGGATTGTACGTTCTCAAAATACTATTTGATGTGAACATGTGTACCAACACATTCTAGTATCACATAAATCAGCAAGGAAATATTGAGAGTCGAAAAAATTGGAATAATTTCACGATCATGTTTGACTCACTATAATTATATACTTATAATCAGATTACTTTCTAAATAAATAAGGTTTTAACAACTATTCTTTTCACTTTTAAAATTAAATATAGAGCAAGTTGTAGTGATAAAGATTATTTCACTGGCCCAAGTCATAAAGTAAGGCCTACAGATGGTCCATTCAACAAGTGCGCCATCTTTGGTCTAACTTGTTATGCCATCTATCTAAATGCACGGTCCAAGACCCACTCGTCAATTCGAAACCTCCAACAATTTATCTTCAAGATAAATCACGGTATGATTTGACCAAATCAAGTAGAAGTTATCTGTAAACACCTTGGGTATCTCAACCGAATAGATCTGATCAGATTCAGCTCCAACCAACCAGAAAATCTCACAGAGTCCTCGCCAATCCCGCCTTGACTGTTATCCCACTCCTATAAATTTTGCGGTTAATAAAATGTTCAGGTATCCAAATCTACTCTACTCTAAGCTATTACTTCTTACTTTTCACCTAGCATTCATATAATTTCTTGAGAAGCTTTACTGACTTAACTGTCGAAGGATCTTTGGCCGGTACCACACCATGTCCTCTTAAGATCTTTTGTGGTCCTTCTTCCTCGTTCTACTTTTCTTGTGTTCCGCAAAATTGCTTGAGGCCTGATCGATCCGATTTTCTCAATTGTAGAATCTACGTTCTACAATTGGTGCCCACAATGGGGCCCTAGCAATCATTATTATTCATCAATCACCATCAACATGTCAGGAACTTCTAAAATCCACAGTACGGATGGATCTACTGATTATGCTTTAGCTGAAACGACTCGTTAAGAAGCGGAACGAATGATTAGTGAGGAGGTGTAAGTAACAAGGAAACAGAGAGACAACTCAAGTCATACCACCACTTTGCCACCCACTACACCGTTGGCCAATCCCATCCATCCAACCACCATCCAGCCAGCCCATCCGACCCTTCATTAGAGTGCTGTTCATTCTGCCTCCACATACTCTCAACTTATGAGTTCGTCTAGCAAAGTAACTACACAACTATCCCAACTCATCAAGTTAAAAAAGCAGAAGTCACAAAAATTGGAGTGGTTAGAAGAAGCGAATGTTGCCATCCGTTTGGAGAATCGAGACCTTCAAGAAAGGTTGGAATCACTAACATCCGATCCGACTTGTACGTCCATCCTGTTTCCAAACTCCATTTAGGTCGATGCCTTCACTCCACCAAAATGGACTTAGGACCATTGGTTCAAACGTCCAATTTGCTACACATCTGAATAGAGGATCGAAAGATGTACAACCACAGCCTACCAATGGGCAAGATCTAGAGATCGAACGAAAGTCAGCAGTTATTTCGCCGATTCTCCTTTTTTTAACAAAATTGCCTTAGTGGAAATGTCCAAAAAATTTAGCTTCCCTAACATGAAGCTTTATAACGGGATGGTTGATTTAAATGATCACATAGCTCAGTACAGAAAAAAGAATGTGTACTTCTGCTATACTAAGACACCTTTGAGAAGCCTGTATATGTAAAGGGTTCGGCTCTAGTCTTGCGGGGCTAATTTGACATGAAAATCCCGCAAGTGTACGGGTTTGTTGTACAAGTAATAATTGTGATGAGTGAGTTATCGTCCCACAGGGAATAAGGCTAAATTTTAGAATATTCGATATATTTAAATTTGTAAATGTAACAAAAAGATGATTGATTTTTAGTTAACTACGTT